TTATTGGTATAATTGTTGATGGAAATAAAAAAAAGAAAATAAATAAAACTTTAACGATGGAAAAAATTGCAACATATCTAGTGGATTCATGCTAGCCGTTATGGTTACTTTACTAATGATGGAAATAAACTAGAAAATTAGAAAATTGACAACCCTGAAAATGATGAAGACAAGACAAAACAAAAAAACGGATGCAACATCGACAGCAAGAAAACATTTTAATAAAAATAACAATAATAGTATGTAAAAAAAGACATACCTGAAAATGTTGAAAGCTTAAACATAGCAGCAGCAGCAACAACAGCAAAAGCAGTAGCAGTAACAGCAGCGATTTTATATTATGTCGATGCAGGAAGAAGAATAGTGCTGTGGCAACGGAGATGAATCGGTACGACCAACGTTTAGGTTTCAGAAATATTTACACTTCAGCATTATTCCGTTTTCGATTTATGAATATGCGTATGTTTCTTTTTTTTTTTTCTGTTCGTTTGTTTCCCAAATCAGCGATACATCTGCACTTGAAAGAAGGCTTTTTTTCCTGTGTATTCCATCATCAAAAACGCCAAGTTTAAAACTCAACAAAAATTTTCCAAACAGACCTCAGTGTAACAAGCGTTAAGTACAAAGGCGAATAAATACACATATCGAAAATAGTGCAGAACACAGGCAAACTTTGATTTCGATGTTTGACCTCTTTAATCGCGAACAACAAAAACCTGTTATTATTAAAACATTTCTTCAAATAAAAAAAAAAGCAACCTCCTCTCCATCATATACTCTATTATTTCACTTTTTCAGTTTTCATCCTTTTTTCTTCTTCTTCATAGCCGTTCTTTATTTTTCAGCTTCATCCACTACTTTTTTATATCCCTTATTTTATCAACAAGACCAAGCAGAATAGATAGAAATAAGAAAAAAAAAATTAATTAATTAAAAAAAATCTTAAAGAGGCAAATAACTTATGAGCAATAAAGAAGAATTGCTTTGTTGCAACCTACTGGCAAATAAAAAAGTCACTGGTAGTAAAACAAAAAAATGAGCGGAAAGAAATGAAAAATAGGTGGAAGAAACCTCTTAGCAAAATTAAACACAGTTTCTTGGGTCTGGAATCTATCAAATACAGAAAGCAGGCTTTCAGACAGAAAAACCACAGCCTATAGTTTTGTCTCTTTTTTTTTAAAAACTATTGCAAAAATTTGACGTAATGTCAATTTTGTCAGAACATAGTGGTTTTTAAAAAACCCTTAGCTCCACCCCGAATGTCTATGAATGCAACCAATCGTTTAGCGGGAGCTGGAAAAAAAGGAAAGAAAGAAAGCAAGCAAATCAAGCAAACAAACTAGATTGCAAGCAAGCAGTCAAGTAAGCAAGTCGGCTAGCTAGCTGAGCTTGCAAGGCAAGTACCAGTTAGCCAAGAGGATATGCTGCTCCCTCTGATACACGCCCAGTTTCGTTAGACTAAGCGAACTAGACGATGCACTGCTTTTTGAGTAAGAGCAAAGTTTTTTTTAATCTTCTTTTTTTTTCTACTTTACTTCATTTTAGTTTGTTTATCTTCTTCTATTCAGCTTCAAAAAGAAACAACAACAGCAGTGACAGAAAATACAGGAGTTAAAGAGAAGGAAAGTGAAGCAGAAGAGAGAAAGGACGCAGCAAAGGGGTAAAAAAAGAGGAAGAGGCAAGAAGACAAGATGTCCAAAAGAAACCTATACTT